TTTCTTTGGAGACGAGCAGACGGTTTTGCATGCGTTCAGGAGAGTGCGGGCCGGGGGGATTTTTTGTTCGGCGCTCCAGGCTCCACCTCGAGCCAGCTGGCATCAGCCAGGAAACACCTGCGGTGGAGGTGGGGTGTCCCTCATGCTGGCGGGGGTCAGCAGCTCCGGGGGACAGGGCCGCGCACACGCTTCCACACGCGTGTTAACGATGCTGAGGCGGGCGGGACGGTCCCGTCTGTGTCCTTCAGCCATTGGTATTTCCCGGGTGTCACAAATCAAGATTTTTGTGTACATATTTCTGTAGTGAGGTTAGTGTTATATTAAGTAACACAGACTGTAGGTATATACCTATATATCAATGCACATACAATTCACTAAAGCTGCAGTAAAAGTTTTGTTTTTACTTTTTTCCGGCTATACAGTATATTCAAAGCGAACATGCTTGATTGTGAGCATTTCGATGCAGAATTGTTTCACCGGGGATCGTGCTCAGCTCCATTGTCATCGTCGGAATGATTTCCCAGGGAATTTCCCAGAGCCCATGCCTCAGAAGTTGTCCTGACTGGCCATTGTCGTAAGAGTTAGGGGCTGAGACTTAAAACAAAGTGGAGTTTGATTTGTCAGCGTGATAACAGGCTACTACCATGTCTGCCCTGGTGCTTGTTGTGTGCATCAGGCCTTCTCTCTGTTCGGCCATTGTGTATTGCTGTGGTGATCAAAAGCGATTCAGCTTCAGTATTTGATTATATAGCATTATATACCAGGGTTTCGCACATTTGAAGGAGAAAGTAATGACTTCATTTAAAGCTTTCTGGTACAGTTACACTTTTTCAACCTTTATTTTGTTTTATTTTTTACTTCTTTAAAGTTGCGGAGCGTTTGGAAAAAAAGTTAAAGTGGTCCAGGCTGACGGCAGTGCTTCAGAGGAAGAATAAAAGCTCTTGAACAAGATCCTTCATAGAATCCTGAAAGCTCCTCTAGGAACTTGTCAAGGGGGACCTGTCACACCATTCTCCAATGGGCGACATCCTTTTTGAGATCCTAAAGGAATGCGGATTTATGGAGCGAGATTTGCCGGAGCAATCCAGGAAAAGTTCACCTGTGACATGATCCCATCCCTTACGCCCAGAGCCTGTAAACCACAGTTCCTCACTGCTGCCGGAAGATTTCAGCATTCCTGGTGGGAATTTATTTAAAGGATCCGCTTAGATCCTATGATCCTATGTGTCATACAAGGATCCTATGGAATGTTGTACATGATTATTAAATCTTGTTAAATATAAAATAGTGTATTATTAATGATGTTATAAAATATCCTGTCGGGTTCTCTGTATTTTATAGGATGCCTTTGACTAGATTTTGTTTAGGATTGAATATAACTCAAATAAACCTCCATATAATGCTTTAGGAAACCCTGCTGGTGAATTTCCAGATCTTGCGGGATTGTAAGATTGCCAATATCTTACACGTGATCCTGCGATCATATAGGATCGGATTCTTGATGCTCTTAATATTTTTTGGATCCTGTCGGTGGCGGCCATTCCCTACAGAATCTGAAAACAATTAAGTATTTAAAATATGACTTTTATGACTGATGTTTTTCGAAAATAAGTTGCTTATTTAAAAAAGCTTGCAGTAGGGCTCAAAAAAGGAACTGTTTTAGTCTCCATGGTTACCAGTTTGGACTTTATGTCACAGTAAATCAGTTTTTGTTGTTTGCAGGCAATATTTGCATATAGGACATGATATTTAGGCTAGTTGCCTACTGCTGACTAGGAATATTTTATTATTAAAATGCTGCTGGACCTCTGTTTAGTAATAATATAGCTCTTTACTGCCTGTAAAGCGCTTTGAGTGGAGTGTAATTATAATAAAACAGGTAACAGCACAATCGTTCAGTCAAAGTGGTTTGTCTTTACTGCAAAGGAAGACCTTTGTATTTTGTTCCCACTTGTAGCAAATCCATTTCAAATGAAGTCCTGACATGTTCCTAAATTTCATGTCCTATGAACTTTGTAAGGCTTTGTGTAGGATCATGCTACTCGCATAGCTGAATATGCAAGATTGGTCCCTCTCTGTGGCTTAAAGAATAAAGGAATCAGCCCTGCTGCAGGGGGTGGTAGAGGTGGATTGTGGAAACAGGGACATTGAAAAGTGTATGTTGTCACTGAAAGCAGAATTGAGAGCATTTGTGCACTACTGCGTTAGTGCTCATGGGAAATGAAATTAGAACAAACTGTCTCTCTTTTCCTCATGCTTTGGATAAAAATGCACTTTCATCGCAGACAGTGTTGTGGAGAGTCCTTAATATGGAATATTTTAACTATTTTTCATATAGGAAATCCTTACTGTACAAAAACGTTTGTGCTTTGTTAGAGCACTGTTGGCCTGAAGTATTCTGATCTGACGTGGCAGATGACTAATAGTTGAAGCTTGACTTTTATTGTCATTAAGCATAACTGAATTGGTGAAAGAGTGAAGCTGTGGTTTGAATGAGAGGTAATGGACACTCGGTATGCAATGCTGGTTGTTGTTGCTTCGGCAGCTGAATTCAGTCCCAGCAGAAGAGAGAACTGACAACTCTGAGCTGTGAAGGTCGTTCTGTTAAAGCAACCAGGCCCACTTGCCTTAATATGGAAATGCGGAGTAGTGAAAGAATTAAAGCTATTGCCTGTTCATGGGGATATTTCCAGGTGCCTGTCTAAGGACCATTTGCGGTCACAGCATCAGAGAAATATCCGATTGTATCTCTTGGTAAACGACTCTGGGGATGTCATCGGGGAACCGGAGAAATTAAAAACAACCTGGGAAAACGGCTTTGGTTTATCCAGCCTGTCTCCTGTCAGACAGTTATTGGTCTCCTTGCGTTTCAGCACTGCTGATGCTGGTGGTGGCCCCCAGCAGAGAGGCAGTTCATCGTGTGGACAGTGAAGTGGTAACACATCTGTATATAAAACTCAAGACTGGAGCTCTGTCCTGCCCTGTCTTCTTTGCCCCATTGGGTAGATGTCCAAGCACGATCAAGTGTTTGTTATTACTGGCTGTCATGTTATTAATTGCACCTTCAAAATACTTACATAGAATGTTTCCGTGATTGAGATTCATGCACACATGGCATGGTTTTGACAAGGGGAGGATGTTGTGAGGGCACTATCTCCAGTCTGTGACTGTGCTTCTGTGCGTACAGCCTCAGTGTTGGAAGTCAGTGAAGCCGTGACATTTTGGCACTTACACTGGAGCCCGGGTA